TAAAAAAGGAAACCGAATAAAAAAAGGAACGTTGGTTAAATCAACAAACCGACTAACCGAACCGTGACCGATCAGTGCCAAACTGCAAAGGAAAATCGAACCCCGACCGACAGATGATCAGCCCTAAGATTAAGTACCAAATTGATCAGAAAAATCTAAAAAATTAGGGCGAGCATTTAGTCCTTTTATTTTTTTTTCCTTTTCCTAAAACATAAAACTAACTGTTGGAATATTTTTATATTATAATAATAAATAATGGATCACATATTAATATAATTATTATTCGAATATTTGATGGACCAACTAAAGTGATTGGTAAATAAGGGTCCATTGATTTTCGTTGAGTATGAACTTTTCTTTAGGTGGATACCCATTTATTCTTAATGGATTTAATAGGAGTCCGCGGAAGAGTTTATAAATAGAATACAAGGGTTATGGTCTCCAATACTTTAAATATATCTCATATGACAGAGAGCTTTGAGTTCTAGTGTGTTTAGTTAAGGAAGATCAATCTAATATTGAGGTTCATGTTTGATTGTTCTTCGTTTACTTATTGATTCTAATAATTCGATTATGCACGATTCTAAGACCATTGTTACGGTTAACAATCTAACACTAACTACTAAGTAAAAGTGTAAAAGTGTTATTTTCCTTTCATGGTGAACAATTATATATATCAAACGGCAAGAGAGAAATCTAAGAATTAAAAAACGTGAAAGAATACTACGGACATACAAAGAACAGTGAGAAACAAAAGGAACAAATTTGAATTAAGGATGTGGGCCAATGTGACCAATAACACGATTCCCTATATATACACGCTTCCCTAGCCCGCACTCATTCATCTAATACAGACACAGAGAAAGAGAGTGAAGAGCCATGGAAGCTTTATTATTCATCAGTCAATTAACTTATCAAAACTCCCCAACAGCCATTACCAAAACCTTCACTCTCTTCGTTTTCATGGCTTTCATTTCTGCCATTTTTTCTCAATGTTACCGTAAGAGGAAACACTCAGTTCTCCAACTCCCACCAGGCCCAAATCCATGGCCTCTCGTGGGCTGCCTCCCAGCAATGTTGGCCACAAAATCACCAAAATACAAATGGATTCATGCAGTGATGAAGCAATTCGACACTGAAATCGCATGCATTCGTCTCGGAAATACCTACGTAATGCCAGTGACTTCTCCAGAACTGGCTGTTGAATTTCTCAAGAGACATGACTCTGTCTTTGCATCACGTTCCACCATCTCCAACACTGTCAATGTCTTGTCTCGTGGACTTCTTACCACAGCTTTTTCACCATTGGGACACCAATGGAAGAAGATGAGAAGAATACTTGCATCGGAAATATTCTGTCCATCGACTCTTCATCAGATGCTTGGCCACAGAACTAACGAGGCCGATACTCTTCTTCGTTATATTTTCAGCCTTACCACTACTAACACTGTCAATAAAGACGGTGCAGTTGTTAATGTGAGAAGCGTAACACAACATTACTGTGGTAACATTATCAGAAGAATGCTATTCAACAAAAGGTACGGTTGGAATTATTTATGAATCAAAATCTTTTCATAACCTCAACCTCAACTTTCGTATGTGAAAGAAAATGAAAATATATAACTATTAGAATGACCGTGAATAGTTTATAACCAGGTGATTCTTTTCAGTTTTGGAGAGATTATTCCCTCGAATTTTTTCTCTTCTCATATTTTCTATTGCTTAAATATATATAGGTGTTTGAAATGCTACATTCATAGGTTAGTTATCCGTCCTATCATGGACTATAATTGTTTATGATATATTGTTGAGAACAATGGAGGGAACAAAATTGTCTTCAGAAAACAATGGATTAATCAACTTCTAGTTTCCTTATTTTTTTCTGCATTTTGCTCTTATAGGTACTATGGCAAAGGGAGGGAAGATGGAGGGCCAAGTTTTGAAGAAGAAGAGCATAATCAAGCGTTGCTAACAATTCTAAGGCATGTTAATGCATTTTCTATATCAGATTTCATGCCTTGTTTGAAGCCATTTGATTTGGATGGACATGAGAAGATCATGAAAAGAGCTTTGAAAGCCCTTTGGAAGTATGATGAACCAATTATAAATGAGAGGGTGCAACAATGGAAAGATGGGAAAAGGGAAGGCGCAGAGGACATTCTTGATATCCTCATTTCAACTAAAGATGGGAATGGAAAATCGTTGCTGACAATTGACGAGATCAAGGCTCAAATCACAGTAAGGATTCCTAAACTTTATATGGAACCACATGTACCTACACGTAAATTACTGATAACATTCAAATTGAGTGTAGTATATATGACATTTGATGCATGTATAATTACTTGGTCAAAATATTACCGAATTTGGTCCCGGTACAATGGAGACTCTTTTGATATATATATATATATATATATATATATATATATATATATATATATTTTGTTATATTTCAAGAAATTTAATGAGTAAATTATCATGCTAAAATTATGATTAATAGAAATGAGATCAAATGATAATGAATTAACTAAAACGTACGTTTAAAAAAATACACGGACTAAAATGAACAAAAATTGAAAGTACAATAATCAAGATAGATGTTTTGAAAGTAGGCCGACCAAAATAAACTAAAGCGAAAATTTCAAGGACAAAAATAGTATTTAAACTTGGTAAGGATTGATACATACACACAAGGTATATATATAGTTGATGAAATTATTTGTATTATATTAATACTAATGTCAATGTTTCCCACGACAATAATATAGGAACTACAAATTGCAACGATCGATAATCCTTCGAATGCAGTGGAGTGGACAATGGCAGAATTACTCAATCAACCAAAGATTCTCCAAAAAGCAATTGAAGAATTGGACAGAGTAGTCGGAAGAGAAAGACTTGTTCAAGAGTCTGACATCCCAAAACTCAAGTATCTCACGGCTTGTGCCAGAGAATCCTTTCGACTTCATCCATTTTCACCTTTCAATATTCCTCATGTCTCAAACGCTGACATCGTTGTGGCCGGTTACTTTATCCCGAAAGGTAGTGAAGTCATTCTGAGTCGGTCAGGACTCGGTCGAAACCCAAGGATTTGGGAGGATCCGATGCGTTTCGATCCAGAACGTCATCTCAAGGATGAGACAGTTGAACTGGGATTATCAGAACCAAATCTAAGATTCATTAGCTTCACCCGAGGAAGAAGAGGCTGTGTGGGTAGCTCATTGGGCACAAACATAACCATGATGCTACTTGGTAGGTTGCTGCAAGGGTTTTCATGGAGCTTACCATTTGGAACAACAAAGATAGAATTCTCTGAGGCCGATGAACTCTCCCTCCCGAAGCCATTACACTTGCATGCAAAGCCACGCCTGCCTCATATTATGTACCCAACTTCTTGATCATCAAACATATAAAATAGGCTAGTTGTCCTCTTGCTTGCCGAATATTCCTGTATTATTTCTATGTATTCTCGCTTGCTTATGTGTCTGTGAACTTATAAATGTTGTGTGAATAATAAAATGAATTAGGGTCAAAGCGTACTTAGTTAAGCGGTAATTCATATATACCTCAAATCAAGAGGGTGTGAGTTCGAATCCCCTACCATGTTGTACTAAGAAAAATAATTATAATAATAAAATAAATTAGAGGTGATTGGTTGGAGTAACGTATTGTACTAAAAAAAATAATAATAATAAAATAAATTAGGGGTGAACGGTTGGTTGATGATATCATAATAGTTTATTAATTTTATAACAATTCTTTGCGTCTCTAAGAATTTACTTTATGTTATCTAAAAAGGAAAATAATTTATACTTTATGATTTTGAACTTTTGAAGAAAGTTTAAACACATAGGTATTTATAGTGTGGAAAAAACCTAACTATACACATTTTTTTTTTCAAATATTAAATTTAACATTCTATAATGTTTAAAAACAATTAATTTACGAATAAAAGTTAATACCTTGAGTTGATCAAAATAATCTCTTTTTTTTCCTGCTTCGACCATCACCTTTTCGACTCTTGATGTTTATAGTTGACCTTACGGTTACGGTGGTGACAATTCCAATCACATTTGTACGAAAATAATATATTGAATTAATAAAACTGTAAACTATCATACTATTATTTTGAGAAAAAAAAACATATACCTATCGTCTTCTTTCACTCAACAAATTCATTGTATTAATGAAATCAATGAAATTATGGGTAAATTTCTTTGTTGAAATTACTTCGTTGGACTCTTGAACTTCAGTATATTTGTTGATAAAGATAACTCAATATCTTGCTTAACATTGAGGAATCTATTATAGACTTGTTCACATTTCTATGAACCAATTTTCTTCACACTTCAATCTTGAAATAGTGAATAGTTTCATTATACATCAACCACCTCAGTTTAAGTTCCCTAGAAAAAAATATGTATTAGGAAACAACCAAATATAAAATAGAAATACACAAAAACGAAAGGAATAATCCCAAAGTAATTTTATGAATAAATAATAAATCTTTATTGGAAAAATACATCTTCATCAATCAGAATCAACTTCAACACTTGAAGTGGACCTCGATAGTTTGTATAAGTGTCAACTGTTTCCTCGTCCAATTACTATGATTTTTACTAGTTTTTAGAGATGAGTAGTTTGGAGATGATAATTACACAAAAGGATTCATTCTACAAAATTTACATTTTTATCTTAAAAAACACCCTTTAAAGATGGAACTCATCTTCATTTTACCAATATACCCTTTTTATATACATGAAATTATTATTAAGATATTAAAATTCAAAATGGGAAAATTGTTAATTGGGATTTACATTTTAAATCCCTAAATTTATGCACCTTTTCACCTTCCTAAACAAAATATCCCAAATTTTTAGTTATATCTTCCTCTTATTTAATGGTCTTTCTTTTTTCTCACTTTACACCATCGTTTTCGGTAGGCCGTCTTCTCGTCTTCTTAGTGTTTTCCATTTTCTGTCGTTACCATCTACGGCAGCCCGTTTCCGATTCGCTCGCTTTTCACCATTATTTTTGGTAGCCCATTTTCTGCTGTTTACGTTCTAAATATTCTAGGTTTGTTTTTTATTTCTAATTTTGGGTGTTCGATTTTGGGACATTTAAAAAGTATTCGATGGTAACGTAGTATATATTTGATTATGTAGGTTATTTACTTTTTTTGTTAATTGTAGAGAGATATAATCGTATATACTTTATAGTTCATATATAAATTATAGTTTGTAGCTAGATATAGTTTATATCTTCATATAAGTGTATGTTATAAAATGACTATGGTTTATAGCCGGATATAGTTTATATCTCCATATAAATGAAAAAGTAGGCGATAAACATAATATATATATATATATATATATATGCAGGACAGATACGAAAAGGATAAAGTCGCAGTACTCCATTGTTGTCTTACCTCATCATGCCGGTAAGTTTACTCTCGTAAAATGTAGTGTTCTCTGATGAATATCCGTGAGATTGAGCTAAAAATATTACATTTGAAATGTATTGAATTGAGCCAAAAATTGAAATGAAACGAAAAAATATTTTGTAATAAATTTCACTGTTTTAGTAGAATATATTAAGAAGTAAATTAGGGGATTATGAGAAATAAATGATTTGGGTCCCACAATAATTTAATGTTTACAAAAACAAATTTGGAACATTAAATCTTGTACATTTAAATAAAAAAACTAATTATAATAAATATAAATGTCATAAATAAGGGCAAATTTGATACGTGTTAAAAGTTATAAATTCATAAATCTAAAATTATAAAATTTGTAAACATTAGACATTCGTGAAAATATGTTTCTGAAACAGCCCGTCCAAGTCATTATCTGTTTTTACTATCCATTCTTTTTCAAACGTCTCGAACCCAAGACAATCCACGTATATATATAGTAAAAATGTGAGAAAATTAAAACCTTTTAATTTAAATGAACGGTTTATGATGAATATCAAAATGTTTAATCGATAAAATTGATTTAGTGATCATTAATATTTTAAGTGGAATTGGATTACGGAAGAAGCTAGAATTTTTTTTTAATATAATTATATTTGTGTTATTACGACGAGTATTATTTTAATTGAGAAAATGAGAATCATTTAATTTAAATTAAAAGTTTTTTATTTGATGTCAAAATAGATTTATTTTTTTGGGAAGGAAATGAAATGTATCACGTGTGGGGTTTTTCTTTAAATAAATGAATGAAATCAAAACTTAATGACTCTATATCTATTAAAAAAAGGAGTATTTTTATAAAACATTTTAGACTATATACCTTTATTTAATTTATAAATTTAGAAAACACGTCATAGAAAATTAATGGTAAATATTAAATTAATTAATTAATTATCAATAATAAATACTTAATTATCAACTTTAACAATTACACGAAATCTAGAAAATTAATGGTAAATATTAAATTAATTAATTAATTATCAATAATAAATACTTAATTATCAACTTTAACAATTACACGAAATCTAAAAAGTTGAAATATATAAAATATTTATTTAATTTATGAAGAGTTAGCTGATTTTCACTAATAGAATTTCAAAAATTTTATAATTCCAAAAGCTTGGTAATTTTTTCATCATTTACCTATATAAATAGGCATTTTCTTCCACCATTTCTTAGCAACACTCAAGCTACATTTTTTCTTTATTTTTAGTCCTCCCTCATTTTGTTGCTCTAAAATGTATGTAATCTTGAAAGTAACTCAATACAAATATGATACGTTCTGTTTATGCAAAAAATGTGACAGGGTATGACCTGGTCAAGGTCGGCCGCAGGGAAGAGCTCGACCTACTCCAAGTATGACCGAGGGAAGACCATGACCTGCTTTTCAGGTATGACTGCGGGAAGACCATGACCTGCTTCAAGTATGACCGAGGGAAGAGCTTGGGTATCCTTGGAAAGGGATGACTAGCTCAAAGGGTCAAGGTCGGCTGACTGGGATGAGCTGGTGTCCGGAATGAGCTGAAAGGCCACTTGGCGAGGAAAGACCTGCACAAGGGAACAAACACTCCGACGCTCAAGTCAGTTTTGAGTCCGACCTTAGTATGGAGGCTGAGCTAGAATACCATACCTGACTGAAGAGTGAAGTGCCCTATTTATAGGTTGAGGTACCCGACAAGGAATCCGACCAGCGGTTGAGCATGTCTGGACCAAGGTCGGCCTATTGGGAGTAGCTATTCCAATTCATACTCTTGTCATCTGGAATTTGACTAAGTATGGAAGGTCGTTCCTCCCATGAATGATCTTTAGGGAAGACCTTCAGATCGGCCTTTAGGGAAGGCCTCAGGTCGGCCATTAGGCAAGGCCTTCAGGTCGGCCCTCAGTGGAGCTCTTCAGGTCGACCCTCAGTGGAGCTCTTTAGGTCGGCCACCAAAAGGAAGATCTTCAGGTCGGCCTCTTCAGGTCAGCCACCAAAGGGAAGACCTCCAAAGTTGGACATTTTTTCTGTCCTCCACGATTTTCAACCCTCAGACACGTTCAATTCAACCCGAAATTTATATATCGAAGCTATATCTTGATTTGTAAGTTTGTGTGGTTGTAATTTTTACTTTGATGAAGTTAAATAATGATGTTTGTATAATAAGACTAATTTATATTTGATCACTTGTGTATTGGTTTAGATTTTTAGTTTTTAGTTTTGTTACTATTGGTTTGTTTTTGTTTTTTTATAATTACTATATTATTATGTTTCTTTGTATTTGTTAATATTTTTTTATAATTAATATTATTATATTATTTTATTTAAAATGTTTGTGCATGTTTTAATTTTAATTTGATAACTCAAATGTTCTACACTTTCAATTTTTGAAGGGGCGGCTGCCGTAGTAGGACGCCTATTTCTCGTTGTATTGCCGAAGGGGCGTAACAACGTGCTTGAGGGAATGGGAAGGCTAGAAGGGCCTGATTGAATAGACAAGGTCTTTTATGAAGAACCTTGCTGGCGTCTGGATACAGTTTCGAACTGGATATCTATGGCGTAGTTTTTTGCACTCATCAGAGATGGTACAGATGGTTGAGAAATGGGCTTTTTGCCCTTTGAGGTAGCAGTTCTTGAAGAAGATGCTACAGTTTGTGGAGAAATGGTGGTTTCATTTCTCGGCGACGAGGGTCGCTGATTGTTTTGCGGCGGAGCCCGCTGGGTGTTTGGCCGTCTTTGGTCGGGAGGAGGTTCCATCTAAACGAGGAGAGGTCAGAGCTGATTTTGGGTTTTTCAAGAGATGTTCTCTTGAGAGATAATCAACAAGGGAATTCTCACTTCCTTTTATAGGCACAATTTGAAAATCAAAGCAAGACAGTATGGCCTGCCACCTTGCAAAGATTTGCTTTGAGACCAGATTTTTTACATCTTTTTCAAAGATGTATTTACTTGCTTTTGAATTTGTTTGTATGGTGAAATCCTTATTGATAAGATCTCCCTGGAACTTTCGCATGGAAAGTACTATTGCCAAAATTTCTTTCTTCACCGTGGAATAGTTTTTCTGAGCACTATTTCAGATGCCTGAATAATAACGGATTATCGTGATTTTTCCGTTAACTTCATGTTTAAGAACAC